CAATGTGCACATGGACCTACTAGATCTCTTCCATAATACTTACAGAGCTTCCCATACATGTGTTCCATTTGTAATCTCCCTCGTATCGAAATCACTCGGAATGTAAGTCACGCTCGTTCTCCATCCTCAGCCCCCAAAGCTGAACAGAGAGCATTAGATTCCAAGAGCTGTTTGGAGATAACTTTAAATTCGAAAGTGTTTTTATGAATCTATCCCAACACTCAGAGGAACAAGACCTGCTCTCTTCTCGTGTCCCTTTTTCTTCCACAAGCTGATTATCTGGGAAGCAAAGAAAAATACCTCCTCCTCTTCTGGCTGCTGTGTCTGTTGTTAAGCTCAAGCTACTTGGTAATCAGCCAGTTCTTAGAAATAAAGTAGGACAAACAGGTTCTTCTTTGTTCCCCTGTATTGTATGTACATGACTGCACACAGTCCAAGTCAGGTTTCAAAAGTTGCTCACAGAGTAATATGAGGTAGAAGAACTAAATGAAATGTTTGGGGTTTTTGGCCACCTTTTTCCTGGATGTGTAGCAAAAATTATTCTCTTTCAGTGGAAAGTAACCTCATTTAGAGTATAAAAATTTTAAAAATGAAATTCTGAAACGTAGATCGATGTTGTAATAAAGTAGCTTCACAGGCATCAGCAAAATAAACTATGCCGTTTTTCTGACTTTAATTATAGTGTAGACAAATCCTAGGACTTGAAAAAGCTGTGTGCACTTATGTATGATATCTATATAAATTTTTTTCTGATAAATATAAAAAGAAAGTGGCTTGAAGAGAATGGAAATTGTGTCTTAGAAGAAAAAAGAGCAATAGTGTGATTTTTCAGATATTTGGGGAAATCATGGGAGAGAGAGATCTGCTGTAATGAAAGAATCCACTGTTTTGGATAAAATAACCATTTGATCACATTGAGGTTCAAGTGTCTCTTTCAAAATCAACGTGAGGACTTTCACTCGTGATTCTGCTACGTTACATGAGTCAGAGCATAACGATGCTGACAGATATTGAGGAGCTTGATAAAACAATGTCTCTGTTATTTAGGTGTTCAGTGTTTTAATCCTGAAATAGCATGCCAGCATTCATTACTCATTAGTTAAGTGACAGCAAAACTTGAAGACACGTGGCCTGGGTTTCACCAGTCAGCTCTCCATCGTTGTGTGTATCTGAATCTTCACGTATGTAAAGCTGGGCTTTATTACTGGGACAGATGGCCTGGTTGGTTGTGCTTAAGAATACATTTTCCCCCTTATATTAGTGCATTATAATCTCACCGTTGGAAAACGTATGGATTAATGGAAATATTGAACATGAAATTAATGGGATTTTCTCTGGTGGATTTGTAAAAATTCAGAAGTGATCTTAACCAAAAATTACCTTGGCAGGGAAGCAGTTTGACATAGTAAAATTGAGGCCCTGGTTGTGTGTAGTTTTAAGTTTCTTCGACCCTTTGTGCAAGAGGAGTGAGGTGAAACTAGTGATTCCTGTCCAAATTACGCGTTCTGCCACCAACATCTAATGGAGTTGCCATTAGATAAATTATCCTTCCTCCCCATCTCAGACTGACTTGCTGTAACAGATGGCAAAAGAGATTCCTGTGTGGCTGTTAAATCTGTTAAAGCATTTGGGATCTTTTTGAATTGAAAATAATACGTATGGGAAAATTACTCTTCAGCACCCATACTTTCGTTCTGGAAAAAACCACTGATGGACTCAATGAGCTAACCTCATTCCCTCACTTTCGAGGTCTCCTAATGCAACTCTTGTTTTACCACTGCCTGCATTCAAGGTGTTGATTTAGCGTTATGGACATCGGTAATGCTCTTACACGTTTTGCTGGAGTACTTGTCCTTTCATCGGTGAAAGAACTATTACTGTAATCCTTGCAATGACCTGGTTCTTGGAAAAGCACATCTTGACAATCTTTCCATCTTGGGTTGCACAGAAGCGCTGGTGCCGTAGCTCCTCTGCGGAAGTACCGTTTGCTGTGGCTCTGTTAGGGGTGATGTCTGTGGTTGCCACTGTGTACTGTCCTGGTATCAAGTTGTGGCGGTTTCTGTTTCTTTGCACAGAGTTGTCTGATTTTTGTAAAATGACTGGGGTTTAAAGCTTTGGTGAAAAATATTTTAAGGGATAGTAGTGTAATTTTAATTGTGTAAAGTGTTTATTTTGTGTGTTTAAAAATGCTTATATGTTAAGAAGCTCAAATTTTAAAGGATAGCAGGCCTTTAATACAGGTTTCTATTCCCTATTTTTGTATATTAATTATTGTTACAAATGTAACAGCTTTACATGGAATAGGACTAGTCCTTGGAATCATCTTTTCTGTCTGTTTTGTTAACTATTTCTTTACATTTGTATTTATTTCCCCAAATCTCCATCTGATGTGCTCTCTGGAACAGGAATTGTGTCTCATTACATTCTTTTCTCTGCTAATACCAATAGGACCCTAAACGGAGTTCGAAATTAGAACAAATGAGCTGCTTCCTGTGATGGTGTAAACACTGAACTGCTGACAGCACCTTGCACGTAGCAGCTTTCGTGCTGCTTCCAGTCACAACTGCCAGTTTTACCAGAGCAGTTCTCTCTGAACTCCTATGACAAATTTGTTGCCAAATAAAAACAGTTGTAAAGACCCTGAATAAAATAGGAGGGAATAATTTTCAGTGTAAATTGGTTGCGGTAATTGTAAGAAACTGTGCTTTGAAAGAGAACTTCAGTGTAAATTGGTTTTTGTAATTGTAAGAAACTGTGCTTTGAAAGAGAAAAGGTTGTAACCAAGGGAGTAAGTGAAGTTCCCATTGTTTTGACTTTTTGTGGGACTTTCTCAGATGTTTTGCAGATAATTGTTGCACAGCTACATTTAAAACTGTATCAATGCATCCTTAATTACATCTTTTTATATAGATTTGCAAAAATTAAGTTAACTTTGGGCCTGATCTTTTTCAATGGAAATTCAGAATTCGCTCCAGTGTATAGATTTGCAAAAATTAACTTAACTTTGGGCCTGATCTTTTTTTCAATGGAAATTCAGAATTCGCTCCAGTTTGGTGGAGGATACAATATAGATATCATCTTAGACAATTGATATGTAATAAAGACTGGAGAACATTTAATCCTGTGGTCATCTGAGTTGCTTTTTGAAGCCGATGTCATATATGGAAGGTTGCACAGAGTTTTAAGGTGTTTGTTACTTAATCAGAAAAAGCACCGGTGTGCCTAAAAACGTAGTTCTTGCCTTCTATCTGGTAGTGTTTTTAGAAAGGGGAAAAATTGTTTTACTAGGTATGGGGGCTATAAAATTTATGTTCAAGGAACATGGTTTTTAAAATAAAATAATAATTCTTGTTTTAAATTATTTGCTTTCTCTTTCCTGTATTGCTTTTGCCTTTCGTGATCGAAGTCTAGGAGAGTAAGTCAATGTTTTAATGAATTTTGGGGGAATTTTTTTTCTGATGTGCTTATAACAAGTTAATCCATTTCACTGAATTGTTTCACTAGATCAGGCCAGAAGTTATTTCAGTTGACTTCATTCGCTAAAACTCGTGAATTAAATACATATTTTTAATTTGATTTTTCAAAAAAGTTTTGTTTATCTGTGTGTTTCTGTATATATGCATGCTATATTCGCTTGCTTGCTTTTTGAAATTTTATCTTAGCCTTTACTCTTAATTGTAAGATTATATGCTATATTAAGTTTCTGTATTTTTAAAACTCATTATTTTTAGATGCGTATTTGCATCGATACTGTACTAAAAACACTTAGTGAAGTAATCGAGTCTTGGACGTGCAGTTATTTCAAGATCACATGGTGTAAAAGGAAGCTCTCCTGTGGATGTAAAACATCCATTAGGAGTTCGTTCTCTTTTTTTTAATCTTTATTAATTTGTGAAGTTGTGATAGAGAAGTAGAGTAAAATAGGCTTAAAGGCTAGGGAAAATTACTGTGCACATCAGGAAACATTAATGGTGTTTTTCCCTTTTTTTTAGGATTCACAGAGCAGGCAAGGAGGATATAGTATGCATCAGCTTCAGGGGAATAAGGAATATGGCAGTGAGAAGAAAGGTTATCTCTTAAAGAAGAGCGATGGGTATGTTCTTGGAGTGCATAGCACATAGTGAGAGCTCTTACTGTGTTTGTGCACTGGTTTTTATTGTTTTCTACTGTGGGTGCTTAAGGCACGTTCTCCTAACGCGCGTGCCGCAAGTATTCAGGAATGTCACCGTTCAAATCTGAACACACTGAATTTAATAGAGTAGATATAAAAAGCATGACAAGCAGTCGTAAAAAAAAGTCATATTAAGAAGGCGGCTATTGTCGTTATAAGTCTCTAAAAGGTGGTTAGGACCTGTCATAAATCTCCAATTTTTGTGAAGCATTTAGTAAAATTTTGACTGCATGTGTTAGTTTCTCAAGGCTAATCTTCTCAAAAAGTTAATGGGATTAACGTGTGTTTTGAAATCATGTCTAGTTACGGATTTTGTTGTTGTTGTTCTCATGTAGGTTGAGGAAAGTATGGCAAAGAAGAAAGTGCACTGTTAAAAATGGAATTCTTACTATATCACATGCAACGGTAAGTTACTTTTAAACCTTTTTATTAAAAAAATACTATAATATCCCAGTGAATTGGTATTAAATGTTGGTGTTAATCTGGTATTATGAAAAAGATACCACTTCTGCTTCCAACTGTTGAAGTTCTGTGGATTGTCAGAAGCTGGAGACTGACTTATAGAAGTGTTGTTATACTTGCTCTGTTAAAATTTTCCCCTAGTTGTCTGCTGGTGACCAGTAGTGGGAACAGTGCTTCAGGTTAATGGAGCAGTTACCTCTGTTCTGACTGTGTCTGTGAGACAGGGCATGTGATTCAGCTGAATGAAATGCAGTGTCTGCATCAGAGCAGGTTCCTGTAGACTCTCCTCTTAGCCACTGGAGAGCTGGTCAGTGTGGCCAAAGGAGTCTGGGTAGATTTGGTCAGGTGCCATAATCTCAGTTCTGGCTGTTGACTGTACTGGAAGACCAATAACTAGCTCATACATAGATGTCTGCATTACAGATGTTTTATTCCTACATAGGATGTTAACTAAAACATTTTCATGCCTACACATTCATTTTGTAAAAACATTAAAATTGTTTAACTAATCAGAGTGAGAAAATGAGAATAAAGGCTGGTTTGAAATTACTTTCAAAACTTCCTGTGGACTGTATGCAGTGAGTGAACTCTTCTTTAGCCTTCTAAAATTTTCCTTCATTTTTTTCCCCACTGCTATAGCTTATGACAGTTGATTTAATGCTTAAATGTATTTATCAATAATTTGACAAGAAAATGGCAAGTGTATTGAACAGACTTTTCATTGAATACTTCAACTGGTTTTACTCATAAAGATTGTCAGGGTGTATCTGTGAAGCACGTGATTTGGGATCTTGGGAAGTGTTTGATATGAGGGGTTATTGATAGTCTGACAGACGAGCATTTGAACGTGTTAATATTTTGAGTGCTTTCAACTAAAACTGAAATTTTAGAAAGTTTTGATCATAGTGAGTTGTGGGGATCAGGCATGTATCATAAGTATTTTCCTGGGAATGCTAAACCCTGAGGAATCAACAATGTTATCATGCTGGAGGCAGTCCTAAAACTGTTTTGTGGCAGTAAGGCACAAAGTTGTTGCAAACAAGAGTTGGATATGGTACCGTTGCATCACCCTTTTTTCCCCTTGGCCCTAAATTCCACTGATGGCTGCAAATTTCAGTGTCCACAGTTAACTACCTGTCTGAAGCCAGTTAGAGGGAAGTCACTACATTGTATACTGGAGTGTTGGGGGTTTTTTAATGGCTAGGAAGTTATCCTCACCTCCTTTGAGGAATCTCTTAGTAAAATTATGTATACCAAGACTAGTAATGGTTCAGTTATCACCATTAAAAAAAAAGAAATTGTGTATTGTCAAGCTCAAGTCTTACCAGTTTAGAATTCTTTGAATTCCACTATTGATTGGAGTTTTCCTTTTCTTGTGTTTAGCTGTGTAAAAGCAGCCCATTTGCTCTTTTCTGTTGCAGTGCCGAAAGGAAAGTAATTTTCTTGTTTTCAGTGATGAAAAGTTCATACCAGTCTATTTGAGAATAAACTTCAAAAACAGAGACTCCAATTACATATTTACTCCTTCAGGGAATTGTTGCTCCTTAAGTGTCAAAAATACTGCGTTGATGAGCTTGTTCTGACAAACATTTCGCAACGTGGGAATTGCACTTTGAGGGGTTTTTTTGTTTGCTGGTTTTGCGTTACCTTTATATTTGGTTTACAATTTCTAACATGAACAACTTGCAAAACTCAATTCAGAAGTATTTACCGATAACTGACCTCTCATGTTTAATTTTTGTCTGCCAGCTGTAGTAACTTTAATTCAGAATTGCTATGGTTTCAAATAAACCTGTATAAACCCAAAAATACTTCAGAGACACAATTAGTTATCATGTCTTAAGTAAGCTAATTACAGCAGACAATATTAGCAGCTGTGTTTCTTCTAGGTCGTGGAACTCCAGACCTCCAGCTTCCCACTTCCCTTTTAAAGCTTTAGGATTATGTGTCTGATTTATTTAAAATGGGAGGGAAAATTGGAATATGGGTATGCTGTAATGAAAGATTGCATAATAGTTTTAGTATTGTTTGTGAAACACAATAAAAAACTTCAGTATAAGCATGTCCTAAATTAAGCTTTATTCCTTTAATCCCTTTCAAATAGTCACGAAGAGTTGCCATGAAGATTTTAATTCTGTTTAGATTTAGCAATCTGTCCATTCTGACAGACCAAGTCAGACAAAATCATGCTGCTCTCAAGCGTTTTGAGAGTGTACGTGTACGCATGCCCACGCTTTAAATTAATATCAGACATGCCCGCTCCCCGGAAAGGAAAAATAATCCTAAACCAAGACATTTTTAAAGTAAAAGAAATTTTCTTTTTAGTCCAACAGGCAACCAGCTAAACTGAATTTATTGACCTGCCAGGTGAAGCCAAACGCTGAAGATAAGAAGTCTTTTGATCTAATATCACGTACGTAGCAACTTTAGTACTATCTTGCATTATGTGGCATTTCTAGAAACATCATCACAAGATACTCTGAGTCAAAATTCAGGTCTGTATCCAGACACATGCAGTGCCTCGTGAGTGTTCAGATCCCTCTAGTTTTGAAGATGGGTTGAAAGGACAAGAGCCCTTTTTGTGTGTATCACAGCATCACAGAATGGTAGGAGTTTGCAAGGGACCTCTGGAGATCATCTGGCCCAACTCCCCCGCCAAAGCAGGTTAGCCTAGAGCAGGTCCCCCAGGACTGTGTCCAGGCGGGTTTTGAATATCTCCAGGGAAGGAGACTCCACAGCCTCCCTGGGCAGCCTGTTCCAGGGCTCTGCCACCCTCAGAGTAAAGAAGTTCCTCCTCATGTTTGTGCCCGTTGCCACTTGTCCTGTCCCTGGGCACCACTGAAAAGAGCCTGGCCCCATCCTCTTGACACCCACCCTTTAGATATTTATAAGTGTTGATAAGGTCCCTTCTCAGCCTTCTCTTCTCCAGGCTAGAGAGCCTCAGGTCTCAGCCTCTCCTTGTAGGAGAGATGCTCCAGCCCCCTAATCATCTTCGTAGGCCTCCCAAGTATGTATGTGTGACGTAAGTACTGGTCATTTGTGACAAGCCTTGAAATGCAGCACATGTGCTGTTCCCCTTCAGTTCAGAGAGATGCTTAACAGCTTAGTGGAACGTACGTAAGCTATAGCCACCAGGTGATGGTGGCTGTGACGTGTCTTCTCAGTGTTACAGCTCCTGTGATTTCCCTTCTTCCCACTTTGGACTTGTACAGGAGGTATTTGTATCCAGTCTGATCTTAAAAACACTTTTGAAGTCTGTGAGTCAGCTTACTGTTTTCAGTCTTTACATATATAATATTAAACAACAAACAGTTCCAACATTCTATATTTGCAAGAACAGTCTATGAAACCTTTGAATGTGAGAGATAATACCCGTTATCTCTCCTTTATAGGCTCTCAGTTCGCATCTCATCCTTTTGTTAGTAAAAAGATGTTTCTTAACCCACACAGAGGGAGAAGTATGTAATGGGGACAAATTCATTTTGCCCTTTTCTGCTACTTATGTTTCAGATTTGACTTCAGAAGGGCAAAATTTGATTCATCTGCTTATTTATCTTGAATGTTTCTAAACATAAGACTTTTGAAATATGTACTTTTTGGTGTAAATCAAAATTCACAATTTCATCTTTCTGTTTTGTTTTGTTTTGGTTTTTTTTGAATTGTTTTCCATAGCTATGAATAAAGTATTAAAGTTGCTGGTTAAGAGCAATTGCTCTTAAGGGCTTTAGTTGCCAAATAGGTTTTAGTAACAAATACGTAGATATTTTCGATTTTAACGTGTGCCAAATCAAAAGATGTATTTATTTATTTCAGATAACAGAACATACCACTTTCAAGCAGAAGATGAACAGGAATACGTAGCGTAAGAATGTTTACATTTTTTCAAGTTTATTTTGCCAATAGAGGTGTGTAAAATCACACGTAACAGTGGAAATAGTTTTCTCAGCTAATGCCAATTTAGTGCCTGCTCTCTGTTTTTTCTGCTGTTGTGAATCTATAAATGTGAACTACTTTGTGTCAGGCTAGAGGGCTCTTTGAAAACCTTGTAACATTAAAAACAATAACAAAACAAAACCCGAATCCAACCCAAAACCCATTTAGATTGTGTACCCTGCCAGCATATGCTTCATGTGCACTTACTTGGCGTGATATAGTAAAGTAGGTTATTGGGTTCGAATTAAATTTTTAAAATTCTTATCAATTCTTTTGTCAAGTCTGTTTTGCGGTGACTTCTTTTCCTCCTGTCCCTACCTTTTCCTTTAAATTAAAAATAATAAATAGATAAAAGATGTCCATGTGACACGTACAAAATATTTACATCTTTTCTACTGTAGGCCTAAAGAGAAACAGCAAAGCCTATCTCTTCTGTACTTCAGAATTCAGTAACTCGCTCCAGTAATGCAATGTTATTTCCTTTAGGAAATGTTATTTCCTTTAAAACAATCCTTCCTCTGCTGCGTCGGCACCACTTCTTGTCCTGAGAACCATCTACCACTTTTTTCCCCTCCCGAATATTGCTCTCAGTGTCGTCAAATGTGTGTTGTGCGAAACATTACAATCTAATGCTCATCACTTGACAATTCTAGGGGTAAAGTTAACAAGCGAAGAGGGCAGCGAGCCTGAGCCTTCCAGGCTGCCTCGTTCTTCAGGACTGTTGTGCTCTTGTTGCATGGCCGTATGCTAATGTCCATGGACATGTGTATTTTAAACATATTTTTGGGAGGGTATTTCAGTTGTTCAGTAGTGCTGGGGGGCAGAGGCATTGATAGTTCAATGTTGGAAGGCAGGGATGAAATGGGAAGGCTGGAGAGTTCTTTGTGGTGCAGCTATTTCCTTCCAGAGTCTTCCAGAGCTTTGTGGGGTCTTCAGTGCTGACTGGCTGCTCATGCTTACTCTGTTCGTTCTGGAACGTAATTATTCCAGTAAGTTTCTTAGTCAAGCAG